AAAGCTGCGTTATTGCTATTATAGTGTGACACAAGATTCCCGGCCTGACAGTAAAATTCTCCAGCTATCTCAGGCAGCCAATGCGAGGCTGAATGGCTGCCGGGAAAGTAATGGCACACAAATCTTAGTACAAACAAGATACAAAAAAATAAGTTAAAATTCAGGGCCTGCATTCTGTAATTGTAGACAGCTGTGCACTAGAGGGCAGTATATGATCTACGAGTGGATTTAGATTTAAACTTCCAAGAGTTGAGAAGCACCAAGGAGGAGGTCAGTCAAGGAGAAAGCAGTTGATTCTTTCTACTGCCCGAAGTAACAACCTTCGTTACTAAGTAATGGAGAAAGACGCAGAATAGACCTGGTTGAACTTCCAAATCAAAAGTGCTTGTGATAGTATCCATAAAGGGAAAAACCCTACAGCCTACAGAACAGGATCTCTGCTTTCTTTCTCATAAAAGAGAGGGATTAAAAAAATAATAATAATAATTTGTCCAGCTAGGAATCAGCATGAAGGAAGGGTTAAGCTTTTCTCTGAATGCTGAAGACCCTGATGCAAATCAGGAGATCTGTACAGATGGATGGATTTATAATTGCCTTTTGGAAGCGGCCGACATGATGGGGGTTTTATTGGACGAGTAAATCCATCTTCCTGTTGGCTCTACGGTGTCCATGAGATGCCTTACCAGGCTGAATGCTAACGAAGCCATTAGCTTGCTGACATTTAAAAATAAAATTAGAAAGGATAAATCTCCCAAGGATCTTTTGACAGGGAATACGGCACCTTCTCTGCCGCGGAGGGAAAGGAACACACACAATCTGAGAGTTGCGTTAATATCTAGGCCTGATATCAGGGGTGGGGCTGCTGGGGATTCGCAGGGGTTCGGGAGAACCTCTAGCTAAGATTCTGTGCAGTTCGGAGAAACTCCAAATCCCACTCCTGGCTGGCCCTGCCCACCCCTCCCCTCCCCTCCCAGGAGTCCCCACGTGGCCAGTTTTGGATGCAGGTAATGGCAGGGCACACATGGAGGCTCAGGGAGAGCAAAAAACAGGCTACCGGAAGTTTGGGAAGGCCGGAAAGGGACCCATTTCTGGCCTCCAGAGCCTGGGGAGGCCGTTTTCACCCTCCCGGAGGCTCGAGGAAAGCCTCCGGAGCCCAGGGAAGGCAAAAACGCCCCCCCCCCCCAATGGTGCAGGAGGCCGACTAGGCCACGCCCACCCAGCAACAGGGCAGAGAACCCCTTGCTAAAATTTTTGAAGCCCATCCCTGCCTGATATCCACTTTATCCAAAGGCTGTGTGTTTCCTAGGAGGGGGGAGGCTGGGAATTGGAGAGGGGGGACAAATCAGTGGGAATATTTCAGAAATGAAGAGGCGGAAGGAACAGGCTTCCTGCTACGAATCCTCTAGCATCATTGATCTGTAGAGTTTGTAAAAAAAAAAATGCAAAACTGCACCCATGTTCCTAGGATACCGATGTCAGCCCGTTGCTACTGCACGCAAGCAACTTTTTTTGCTGAAAAGTGCAAAAAAAAACCTATGCCTTATGGTCCCCCGTGGTCTTGAAACAGAAAACCTATATTCTTAAGATCGAACCATGTTGAGTTTTTTTTGGGAGAAAAGGTTTCTCTTAACATCATCTTTTCTTTCGAGAAAGAGCTTTTCTGTTCAGAGAATAAATCATCATCATTGTTTTTTTGGGAAGCAGAACACTTGCAATAAATTGCTTGGGATATACAAAATATCCGTTAGTAACAAATAAGTGATTAATTGGTCAGCCTTTGAATGCAAATCCCTATCCGTGCAGCACTTCATCTTTATACAGGTTTCGAAAAGTCCCCAAAATATACTGCAATATTTCATCTTGTCGTAATATCACCAGAGGAAGGTCATTTGGGGGCTGAAGAAGTATTCTTTACATCTTTTGTGTTTGGGTATAAAAAGGAGATCCAGGTACAAGTGCAACTGTGGCTTTTGCACTCCAGTCTTTAGCTATTAATAAAAGTTTCTGTGCCTCAGCTGTTCAGCATAAACAAAGGCTCAAGATGCTGCTGATGAAAAAGTACATTGGGGTTATTTTTCCCCTTGTTGGGGAAAATTTTGGATAACTTTATCGATACTGTCTGTTGGAACAAATTACAGGTCGTCCTTGACTTACGAATAGTCACTTAGCAAGCATTCAAAGTTACAACGGACCCCCCAAACAGGGGACTTTTGATGGTTGTCCACCCAGTCATTATCACCATTCTTTGGGAGCTTGGCAAAGTGGCCACATTTACAGCATTTTGTCCTGTGGTCACTTGACAGCATTTTATGACAGTTTTGCCCCAAGCTGTGACTCGTTTCTGGTTTTTGACAAAACTGCTCCCCTCGTCAACCATGAATTTGATTAAAAACTCCGGTGTTTGCTTTATGGCCACCAAAAAAAAAAAAAAAAAAAAAAAAGTCAAAAAATCGGGTTGGCCACATGTCCAACTTGTTTTGCAACTATTGCAATTTACAACCATAGTGGGCAGGCTCCATCACGGTCGTAACTCGAGGATTTCCTATAATTTATTTTGAGTAATTCGGTATTTACACTTCCAGCTTTCCAAGAAAAGAACGAAATTGTTCATCAAATGATGATTTGGAATATCAATACTCCGCTGTTTCTGAAAATACTCTTACGGGAGAAGGGTTTTTACTGCTCCTTACATCCTGTTTACTGCTACTTTTTAAAGCCGAGTGCACTTCTTGAGAACTTCTGCTCCGGATTCATCTCCTGGAAAATGTTCATGAAGCTCTCCAATTTCTCAGCAAAACCTTTAGCCAGGTTGTCCCAAAGGAACTTTTCCAAAAGGCAAAAGGGCTTTCTTGGTTGTAGTTTTTTTCCTTGAAAAGTTTTCGCTTCTCATCCCAGGAGCTTCTTCAGTTTTGCAGAATGTACAGAATTCTGTAAAAGGAACTGCAGAACTGAAGAAGCTTCTCGGATGAGAAGTGAAATGTTTTCAACAAAAAAAAAAACCCAAGAAAGATCCAGTTTCTATTTTTTGGGGGAAAAAAGGTCCTTTGGGACAACCATGACTTGGATGACTGAGAATCCCCATAAACCTAAAGACTATCCGGACAGCAACCCAATTGCAACAGGATAAACAAGCAACTGCCGTACTTTTCATTGCCACACTTGGGACATATAGGAATGCTTTTCAACCACACACTTTAAAAACCCTCCAAAAATCAAAACTAAGAAAAATAACTTGCCGGAAACTCTACTTTGCAAATCAGCATTGGCCATCCAGATGCTTCAGGGAAGCTCAGAAGCAGATGGAAAAGCAAAACCCTCCTCTGGTTTGTCCAAAGCCGGTAACGTTAAGTGCCTCTAAAGTTTTGATAGATCCTGAAGGCGCCAATTCCCCTTTCGCAGCCATTAAAGCCTGCAATGATTGGCCCGGAGGGAAATAGAACTTAATTGCGCAGTAAATAAAGTGCTCTTTTATTTTCTCAGCCCAAAACCTGCCTCCGAACCACCACTTGTGCGTCAAGCAAACTGGAAAAGAGGCTCCAATTACATCATCTACGGTATAGAGAAATATTTAGTGCCATTTCAGCATTTTATTTAGACATGTTTAAGAGCAGGGTCAGAAAGATCTAAGGCTGGTTATACAGGGTATTATTTCAAACCGTCTCCCTCTGCTTTTCTTATAACACAACTAGGATGACTTCACTGACAGGTCAAAAAATGATTATTCGGATGTCAGCAACCATCACAAGTGTCACGAGTGTCATTGTTTAAAAATAATAATAAATGGCTCCTATGGTTAAAGTGCAGCTCTTCAGCTGTGACTGAATGTGATCATTTCCACCAAGTCTTTCTCTTTCTACTCTGCTCCATTAAGAAATATACAGCAGAAATTTTCCAGGGAGAGAGAGGTGGCCCAATTATCCCTGTAACATTTTTCCCATGCAACCCAGGAAATTTGCTGTTCACATTTCTCTCAGAGCAGACCCATAACTACCTATTAAAGGAACAGGAATCAAGTAGAAAAGCAACCTAGAACTAAGGAGAAATTTCCTGACAGTTAGAACAATTAATCAGTGGAACAACTTACCTCCAGAAGTTGTGAATTCTCCAACAACTGGAAGTTTTTAAGAAGACAACCATTTGTCTGAAATGCTATAAGGTTTCCTGCCTAAGCAGGGGGTTGGATTAGAAGACCTCCAAGGTCCCTTCCAAATCTTTGTTGTTCTATTCTATTCTTTAGGGATACAGTTTTCTTTCCGTATTTTTGTGGGATCAAGCACAAGATACGGCAAACTTGTTTGTTCAGCCACTGCCGGTGTACAAGGGAACAAACACACACACCAGAGGGCATAAAAGAGCTAAAGACCCAAACTTGGAAGAAAGAACAGAATCCCGAATCAAGGAAAATGTCTATTTCCATCCCAGCGAGATCTACACAATGGAGCAAAGGACCCACCGTTCGTTTTTCTTAATGTTCCTAACCTGAAACAAACACACCTGGGAGAGGGTCCCTTCTGAGCTCTGGCAAGTTTATTCTGCAGCTTTAGGAGCTAGGCAGTAATGGTCTAATCCGCTCATGTCCTCAGCAGTTTAGCACTCCGAACACAAGACTTTTCTGTAAGAAGGCTGCACAGAGTAACTTGAGGGAGAATTTTAGCACGTTTTCAACAATTGTCCATGTTTACCTTGAGCTAAAACTATACATGTTCCTGAGGTTTAGAATGGCGACTCCAGTGGCATCGACCTCCATTGCTGCACACACTTATCACAATTCCATCGAACTCTGGATTAAAAAATACTAGACTTCCCTCTTCAGCGATTTCTAAAGCCATCAGAGGGAGATTTTATTTGGACACCGCAGAACCAAAAGTGCATTTTCAGCCGTGAGTCACATTTCGGGCATTAGAACAGCTTCAATATTAGATGCATCTAAGCAGTCATTTTGCAGCTACTGAGATGTAAAAGCTAACTGGCACTCCAAGGACAGAAGCCCACTGGTCATCTTTGAAAGAAAATGTGCGTTTTATTATAAATCCAAGGAACTGGTCTCCATGGTTAGAACTATCAATAGTCCTGCTTAAGGGGTACCCAGCCAATAACAAAATACTGCTACCATGCCAATATTATTGACAATTTACTTTAAAATGATTAACCATTCAAATTTTTCAATTATCAATGTCCTCAAATCAATAATAGAAAATGAAGAAGAGTTACAGCTCAAGTGATCCAAAATGGATTGTTTCCTACGTTAAACTTATTATTAATAGAGTAAGAGATCTGTAAATGACTCACAACACATTTTCATCCTTGTGCACAAAATAGGCTGACGGAAAGCACAACATTATTGACCAAGTAAAAGGAATTACAAAAAAGGAACCAGGAAAAGGAACGTTTTTAACATCCAAATTCACAAAAGTCCACTTGTATAGCATTAGCACTATAGTTGACTCATCAGGCTATCAAATTATGTTTTAATAATTAAAATTAGTATAGAACACCTCAATTCCAAAAAGTGTGTGAAACTCACAATGCACAAGAAGTCAGAATAGAAACTGTTCCAAATCTAGTTATACAAGGTACATTAAGAACACAAGTTCTACAGCCGTAGAAAAACGTTTTTACACACTAGTCGTTGGAAAAATAAAAGAAAACAAAAAATGGTGTCTGGAAACCAGTCTAGGCTTGTAAAAATGTCTCTTTTCTGTGACCATCATAGATTATTGGCAGGCTGTTGAGAGAAAGGTAGAACAATTAGTAAAGATTGTTAGAAGAAAAACCAGTCACATTCCTAAGTGAAATTTTAAAAGGTTGCATCCTCCTAAAAAAGATATAAGTGGGATATTTACCTCATTCAGGCACTTAAAAAGCCCAGTCAGTACTTATTGACATTTCTAGACCAATTTTTGTTCACTTTTAAGTGTGCGCAACTCTCTACTTTTCCCTCCTCTTATAAGCAAATAAAACAAATAGATAACCCTTGACTTACGAGTGTAATTGAGCCTGGCAATTATGGTTGTAATTTGTGACGGCTTGTAGAGTTATGTCCTGACCGGATGTGTTTTTAGGATCTTTTCTGCAATGGTTGTTAAACGAACGCCACCGTCCTTAAATGAACCCATGGCAAGGTGTTGCAAACGGCCATAAATGAGGGTCAATTGCTGAGCACCCAAAATGTAGTCAGTTATATGACCATAGGGGAGGAGGGGGCAACGTCATAACTTTGAAACCAGGTTGCAAGTAGCTTTTGTGGGGGGAAGAGTCTGTTGTAACTTACAGCTGGAAGTTGAAGACTATCTGTATTATATCACATGCAGGCTGAGAACCTTTATATTTATTAAATTCCTGTGCCCTCCATGTCTGTTATAAGGTGTGCAGCGGCAGCCAAAAAAGCCAATGCAATCCTAAATTGCATTAACAGAGGAATGCAATCAAGTTCAAGTGCGGTACTAATACCACGTTATAAAGCCTTAGTAACCCCACACCTAGAATACTGCATTCAGTTTTGGTCACCACACTATAAAAAAATATGTTGAGACTCTAGAAAAAGAGCAGAGATGCTTAGGGGACTGGAGGCTAAAACATACGATGAACGGTTACAGGAACTGGGCATGGCTAGTCTAGTGAAGGACCAGGGGAGATTTTTAACCCTGTTTGTGAGATAGTAAGACCCTGATGTTGGGAAAGATGGAAGGCAAAAGGAGAAAGGGACAGCAGAGGATGAGATGGTTAGATAGTATCACTGACACTGTGAAGAGTGAAGAGAAGGACCAGGGGAGACACGATAGACATGTTCCAATGTTTGAGGGGCTGCTACAGAGAGGAGGGGGTCAAGCTGAAGGCCAGACAAGGAATAATGGATGGAAACTGAACATGGAGAGATTCAACCTAGAAATAAGGAGGAATTTTTCTGACAGTGAGAACAATCAACCAATGGAACAGAAGCTGCCTTCGGAAGTTGTGGCAGCTTCATCACTTGAGACTTTCAAGAAGAGACTGGACTGCCATTTGTCACAAATGGTGCAGGGTCTCCTGCTTGGGCGAGGGGTTGGACTAGATGACCTGCAAGCTCCCTTCCAACTCTGTTAATCTGTTAAAGTGACTCCGGGCAGCTTACAAATTATTGAAGTAGGTGAAAAATAATGTAAAAGATTGGTGATCTCAACCCAGCAGCTGAGAGCCATCTCAGTCCTCCCACCCCATTTAATCTGCAGGAACATCGAATCATTTCCGAGTCAAGCTTACTTGAAGTCTTGGTGGTGGCCGCCTTGTTTTCTCCTCCTTCCAGTTCCTCCACTCCGGCCTGGGTCATGAGATCCGCGATGTTCTTCTCCAGGTCGTCAATGCGGCAGCTCATGTCATCAAGTGAACCCGAGTTAAGGAAAAAACCACCTAGAGAAATGAAATTGAAGGGAACACCACCACCCCCTTTTGACCCTAGATCATGGCATTCCCACCCCCAACCACGTGACTGTCATTTTAGCAAGCCAATGGGGAAGCCAGCAGGAAGTCACAAGACACGTGGCGTTGCGCTTAATGACATGCAGTGATCCGCTTAACAACTGCAAGCAGAAGTGACATTGAAAGTCAGTGTGGCCACGACCTCACACTTTTAATGACCACAGCGCTTAGTCATGGATTTGCAATTGTTAAGCGAGGAGCACCTGCACATACATATAGCAAGTTTCTTTGGTTTATGTGCATTATTTAAAAGGAGAAAGTGTCCGACATTTGTCCCAAAGGTGCTTTTTTTTCCCCAAGAGGCAAATGGACTTTCTGGTTTTTCTTTGAAGACGTTTCGCTTCTCATCCAAGAAGCTTCTTCAGCTCTGATTGGATGGTGGGGAATGGAAAGCTGAAGAAGCTTCTTGGATGAGAAGCGAAACGTCTTCAAAGAAAAACCAGAAAATCCACTTGCCTCTTGGGGGGAAAAAAAGCACTTTGGGACAACCATCACCTGGATGGCGGAGAATCTCCATGCCCGACATTTGCACACCGAGTGCTAAAGCTGTACAACCTTTGGACAACACATTTGGGAAGTGTGATCGGGGACACTCATCCTCTCCTAATGCTGGAGAGGACTTTTTTTTTTAAAGAGAGAATGAAACAGAAGCACACGCGTGATATTATTCCTGTGCAATTGTCACAGGGCTGTGCGGCTTTGCTTCAGAGTGTGTGTGTGTGTGTATGTGTGTGTGTGTGTCCGTCCCCACACATGGGGAGTCTGGCCCAAGGAAACCATGTGGTGAAAATCTTCCTGATCTTGGCTTTTTCTTACTTCCAGGCTCAAAAGGATATTCCTGCCAATGATTTGGTCCGACATGATCTGGAACTTGTCCTGCATTTGTTGCAGGAGGGTCTGCACCTGATTTTTTTTTGGGGGGGGGGGGGGGGGGAGGGGAAAAAAAAGAATTTGGTTTTTAAGCAAGTACACACACACACACACACACACACATTACAAAACTCAACTGGGTGCCACTGGCTTCCCTTGCAAGTGGGAAGAGGCCTGGCCCCAAACTCTGGGCCAAAAAAAAGAGACCCCCCCCTTAAGCCCCCCCCACTCACCCACCCACCCAGGCGAAGGACAACCTTGGAGAAAGGCAAAGGCCGCATTCCCACAACCCGCATCAACCCGGGAGGCTCTTAACCCGAGTTGGCCGTGTGAACGCAAACCCTGGCTATAAATGGAGACGCTCTTTTGAGCATCCCCACCTCCGTTTCCACGGCAACGGAGACCGCCCGCCCCCGAAGCGCATCGCCTCCCGCCGTATCCAGGGCGACCCCAACGGCCGCGCCCGGTTCCCTAGCAACGCTGCCACCGCCCCTCACCCGTCGCCATGGCAACTCCTCCCTCTCATTCTCCCCCCCTTCCCAACCCCACCCCAGGCTCCCCGGCGACCGGGAGGTCCGCTTTTCCGTCCGCGCCGAGGCCGCTCACCACGGCCGTGAGGTCCTGCACGGTCTTGGGGTCCGTCTCCGCCATGTCGGTCCGCTGCGGTTGCTTCGCCTCCCGGTCACCCGTCCAGGCCCGACTCCCAGGCTCTTCTGGCCTCCTCCGCGAGAACGCCGGCCCAACCGCGGACCTCTCGCCGAGTCTCGCGAGAGCGAGGCCCGAGAGTTGCATTGTGGGAAATGAAGTGCTTTCTCCGGTCGGGGACGCTCGCGGGCCTTTTAGGCTTTCTTCACTGACCCGGGGATAGTGGTGGTGGGGGAGCATAAGGACCTGAACCCTCGCACCGCTGTGTCTCTGGGGATGATGTGAATTGTAATCCCAGCGAAGGGTTCAGCCTTGAACCAAGGGGCGGGGGCGCTCTAGCCCTTTGCGCCTCTATTGCACTGGGCCAGTGACCGGAAGTGCCCTTTCAGTAGTTCGACGGGGGGGTACTTGGCCAATCAGCCGTGCAGTCACGTGACTAGACAGTTGCAGGAGCATTCTGGGAAATGCAGTTTCAGTTTGGGCACAGTGTATTTCCCTCCCATCAAACTTGCAAAGGGAGGGATGTTGGACTCCAATGATCATAGTGCTCTGCCAAGAGGGTTTTTTTTGACCCTGTTGTCCCAGAGTTCCAAGCAAAGCACTTGTTTTGGACTACAGCTCCCATCAACCTCAGTCAACATATCATATTTCATATCATATCATATCATAAATTTATTTGTCAAGCATATATAAGAGGTAAAAGTACAAACATAATTTGAATACATGAAAAGAGTAAGTAAAAAGGACAGGGACAGTAGGCATGCTGGTGCATTTATAGATGCCCCTTACAGACCTCTTAGGAATGGGGTGAGGTATTAATATAATGGCAAGAGAATGGCATCATGGGTATTGTAGTCCACAGCCTTTTCCCTTCCAGACTGTAACCCTATCTTTATATGAGATATAAAGATAGGGTTAGGATCTATATATCTCCTTATATGAAAGAGATTGCCTGGTTGAACTAGTTTGGCAATAAATTTAAATATAAAAAGTCATTCAACTCTGGGTATCTGTGTGTGTATATATAAAAATAGATTTATATACACACACACACACACACAAACGTGTGTATATATAAATATAAAATGCAGAATAAAAATTTAACAATATGGTTCTAGGTGCATGAAAATCAGGAGAATTAAATGTTTGTGTGGAGCCAATAATGGATTACTTCCAATCTATGGCATACACTCAACTTCAACTAATAAACTTTCAAATTTTGATGCTTGAAAGCAGTCCATGTTTATTAGACTAGACCACACAAAGTTTAAACACATCATTCTGTTGTATATTTTGAGGACAAACATGGACGCAAAAAGAAACAATTGCAGAGGAAGAATTTGGGGAAAAGATTACACAGAGACTGGCATAAAACTACTCTAAATACATGCTCTGTTTCTTAAACTTTTTTTCTCTCTGCAACCCTTCCCACTTTTACAAATTACGTTAGTTATTTGTTAGTTGAGTGCTGGGAGGATTGCATTGCATTCATCAAACCACACTTGTTTTCACCCTTTCCTGTATCATTGGCTCCTTGGTGCTCTCTGAGCTTGGTTGCTTCCTTGCAGACGTTTCACGACCCAACTAGGGAACATCATCAGTGCTAGAAGAGAGTGGGGTTGCTGTCTGTTTCTATACAAGTGGCATGCCCTGTCAGTGTTGGTGGGTTGATGGCAGAGGTGGGTTTCAGCAGGTTCTGACCAGTTCTGGAGAACCGGTAGCGGAAATTTTGAGTAATTCGGAGAACCGGTAGTAAAAATTCTGACTGGCCACGCCCGCATTTATTCTCTGCCTCCTGAGTCCCAGCTGATTGGGGATTTTGCAGTAACCTTCCCCTGGAGTGGGGAGGGAATGGAGATTTTGCAGTATTCTTCCCCCGCCATGCCCACCAAGCCACACCCACCAAGCCATTCCACGCCAACCAAGCCACGCCTACAGAACCGGTAGTAAAAAATTTTGAAACCCACCACTGGTTGATGGTTAGGAAGAGAGGGAGCATAACTCCACGTCCGGAGACCCAGATTCATTCGGGGCAAACTTTCAGACAAAGATCAAATGGTTGGGAGATCATTAACCAACGGGACATCATTACGAATCAACAGCTCCCAGCAATCTGGACTGGGGTCTTTAGCAAATCTATAGCCTCAAAATGAGAAAGGGAGGGGGGAGAAAGAGGTTGGGGTAGAAGGTTGGAGGAAAGCCAAAAATAATTAATTGGCTGTGTGTAACAGACTGGGAAACAGCCGGTTTGCCCTATGGATAATGTGTTTGGAAAGCAAGCGTCTGGATTTTCGTTTTAGGCCTGCTGAGCGGGCTAAAACTAACGAACATCGAAATCCGACTTGCTTCGTTACAGCTTTGTCTCCCTCCCCCCTCCCCCCCCCCCCCACCAGTGATGGATGGCAAGGTTAGGGGATGTCATGAAAAGTTATTGGAGCGGAGAAAGTTTTCTCATGCTTAATGACATCAAGCAGAATGTAGAACACGACGGCCGACTAATTAAAGAGAGGCAAAGTCTCGGGTCAAGGGAAGTTCTTCCGGATGATTTCGCTCGTCTGGGGCGGCGAAAACCTGAGAGCCCCCCCGAAGTCAGTCACAAGGTTCTTTTTCCAGCACAAAGGTGTGACTGGGGTTGGCATGGAGCTGATTTCAACACCCCCCCCCCCAAAAAAAGATGCTGAAAGGGTCAGCTTGCAGGGGTGTGAGGAGGAGATCTGATAAATGGCTTCGGAAATGTGCATGTTTTGGAAAGTAGCAGGAGGAAGCATACATTTGCAAGAAATGTATAGAAAATACAGGGGTTTTAGGCAAAGGTATCACCAAGTTGAGATGGGCAGCTTGTTAAAAGTTGTCTCGTTATCTATCTATCTATCTATCTATCTATCTATCTATCTATCTATCTATCCCTCCCTCCTCATCCCTCTATCTATCCCTCCATTCCTCTATCATTTATCTATCTATCTATCTGTCTATCTATCTATCTATCTATCTATCTATCTATCTATCTATCTATCTTCCTTTTTCCAATACTTACAAATGAATACCTTCAGCTAGAGTTTGGCAATTGATGCTATTTCCTACTGTTCTAAAAATGGGAAGCCTGCTCTAAATTAGATTTCTTTTCAAATTACTGTACAGGGACAGCTGAATTAATGCATTTTAAAGTGAATTTCAGTGACTCGCTCTCAAAACTGCAGGCTGCAAAGTCAAAGGACTTTGGGATGTGTCAAGATAATTCTAAAGCCTGAATCTCTGGTCTCCCTTCTCTGACAGCAATTAGCCCTGCCAAAAAGTATCTCCCCTATGTTTAATATTTGTAATAGGATTTTGTTCTTGTGTCCCCGCTGCAGATTTGATTCTCTGGCTTTCTCCCTGCCTCTCTAAAGGTCAGGTAAGTTGTTAGTTGCGAAGTCGTGTCTGACCCATCACGACCCCCTGGACAATGTTCCTCCAGGTCTTCCTGTCCTCTACCATCCTCTGGAGTCCATTTAAGTTCACACCGACTGCTTCAGTGACTCCATCCAGCCACCTCGTTCTCTGCCATCCCCTTCTTCTTTTGCCCTCCATCGTTCCCAGCATTAGGCTCTTCTCCAGGGAGTCCATCCTTCTCATTAGGTGGCCCAAAGCATTTGAGTTTCCTCTTCAGGATCTGGCCTTCTAAAGAGCAGTCAGGGTTGATCTCCTCTAGGACTGACCGGTTGGATCGCCTTGCAATCCAAGGGACTCGCAGGAGTCTTCAGCTGAAGAGGTTGTAGAAAAAATTCTTTTAAAAGGCTCTGACGATGCCAGCTGAGCTGCGCTATCATCAGAGGCTTTTTTTTTTACTTTTAAAAGCATTTTTTCAGCCAAAGAAAAAATGCTTTTAAAAGTAAAGAAAAAAGCCTCTGATGATCGCACGGCTCAGCTGGGTATGGGAGGGGAGGGGGGGAGCAGGGATTTTTGCTACCGGTTATCCGAACCATCTGCCGCCATCGCTACCGGATCGGGTGATCCGGTCTGAACCGGGAGCATTTCACCCCTGGGTCAAGGACAGTTAAGTGACCTGGTCATTTTCTGAGGCTAAATCCAGGAAAATAATCCTGCCTAGCATTTCTCTCATGGAGAACTTTCAACAACATCTTAAGGAAGAGCAGGGTTTCCTTCAACAGTGAAAATGCCTGTTTCAGAAAAACAGGAATAAGAATGAACTGTTATCATTCAAAGCCACATACTTTCTTTCTGGCCCATGGGGAAGAGTTGCAGCAGAGGACTCACGCTGTTCCTTCATCTGCAAAGGAGCCTGTAGCGAGACTTTTTGTATTTCTGCACCATCTGCTAAACAGAAATAAAACAAAGGATCCGATGTGCTCATCAAACGCCACAAATATAGTTGAGCATAAATCAGGGATGAGGGTGGGGGGTGGGGAGCAGATTAGTCTTAGACCCCTGTTTTGCTTGCGGGAGGGGCTCTTGTCGAGACTCTTCTTTCATCCATCAGGGTGAAATGCAGGATTAGCGATATAGATTGGGAATATTGGATTATTTGCGATGATGTGTTATTGGGAGCTTTTTGGGGGGTATCTCACACAGGTATATTTTTTAGGAAGGAAGGAAGGAAGGAAGGAAAGAAGGAAGGAAGGAAGGAAGGAAGGAAGGAAGGAAGGAAGGAAGGAAATTAAGTAAAATAAGAAGGAAAGAGAGGAAAGAAGGGAGTTGAAATAGAAAGGAAGGAAGGAAGGAGGAAGGAAGGGGAAAGAAGGAGAGGAAGGAAGGAAGTTGAAATAAGGGAAGGAAAGAAATAAGGAAAAGGAAGGAAAGAAAAGGAAAGAAGGAGAGGAAGGAAGGAAGTTGAAATTAGGGAAGGAACGAAATAAGGAAAAGGAAGGAAAAAGGAAGAAAGTTGAAAAAGGAAGAAAGGAAAGGAAGGAAGGAAAATGAAATAAAGAGAAAGAAGGAGGGGAAGGAAGGAAGTTGAAATAAGGGAAAGAAGGAAATAAGGAGAAGGAAGGAAGTTGAAAGAAGGAGGGAGGGAGGGAGGAAGGAAAATGAAATAAAGAAAAAGGAGGGGAAGGAAGAAAGTTGAAATAAGGGAAGGAAGGAAATAAGGAGAAGGAAGAAATAAGAAGGGAGGGAGGGAGGGAGGAAAAGAGGAAAGAAGGAAGTTAGTTTAGCAACATTATTCTCAATACTCATGGCAAATTCATGGAAAAGTCCTAGTGGCTTCACGTTCAAAAGAAATCCCAAATGACAAAGATGTACATTTGCTTATGGCAC